AAGAAGCTGTACAAGGACAACATCATGGATCGGTTGGTAGCCGACAACAAGAAGAAGCAAGCGTCGGAACTCCAGCACGAGTTGGAGCACGCGTTCGAGGACATGCCGTCGCTCGAGTAACGACTCGCCCAGTGTTAATAAACAGACGTGTCTAGTCGAGCTAGGTAGTCGGCTGTGTTGATCGCACTCGTAAAATCGCATGGTCCTGTGAGGACGATAACCACTTGCATGGGCGGCCGAATGCTCAGCATCACGACCACGTCGTTCTACACACAAAAGACCAGCTAGGAAATCAAAATCGTTGATAAAAATAGACTAAGGAGGAGCTTACTGTCATCGATAGCATGTGATCTTGGAGAGTTAAAGGGTTTGCACTCGTGAGCTCGGCGCCGCGGCGGACACCATGGCCCAGCAGCATGTAGATGTGTTGTTGGGTGCGCCGACCAGCGGAGTCCCCCCGTGATGAGGATGTACACGCTTGGATAGCTACCAAGGCGGTGCATCGCGTCGACGGCTGGAGTCGAAAGAGGCAGTACCTGGTATGTTGTTTTCAGAAGGAACAGTAGGTTTGGATTCGAACCGCACCCGAGGAGGGATGGACACAAGTCGCGAATGGCGGGCGATAGAAACCAAGGCGATGGCAACAGCATGGGATGAGGCCACTGATCGAGTCGTCGTTGCACGTCGGCTGTCGAGACCTTGAGCTCGTTGTTGGTTACACCAAACCACACGAGACGCTTCATGTTTGATGGGATATCTACGACTGTCATGTGATGCATTTCCTACAATTGGGATCAACAAGAATATACTCCGATGCAAATGGCCAACGTACGGCGTTGATATACACGGGAAACTGCATCGCAGATTTTGGTGGCTGCTCAAGAATGAGCTCCGCCGCGACTACCAAGAGCACGACGAGCCAGCAATCGAACGGCTCGTCGACAGAGTCGGCATTGTTCATCAGGACAACCCCATCGTCAATAACATACGTAGGTCCTGGCCACGAGATACCGGCCACGACGTCGAAAACTTGTGTGTTCGATGCAGTGGTCAGTGGCATGCCGACGGCAAATTCTAGGTCGTCTTGATGGGTCATGATGTAGTCGATGAACTGCACGTGCTTAGCAACTTCGAATTTTTGAGACCCTGGATCTGTCGACGCAAACAACGAAGGGCGCAGCACAAGTCGGAGCATTCGGTCCAGCCAAAGCAGGCAAACCCTGCTTTGTTGCCTCGGAACAAGCTCGGAATTGAACAAGGTCAAGAGCCATCCATCGTTGGTGTGATGATAAGCCACTCGATATTGGGCGGTCTCAAGGTACGCCACATGCCTCTCCGAGCTCAACGCTGCGTCAAAGATGGCATTCACGATGCCGATGGCAGCGGTCGCGGGGATTTGAGCTTGTCCGTATGGGCGAACAAGGATCGGAATGCCAACGTGGTTGACAATCACAGCCAACGCATCGTTCATCGTGTCAAAATAGTTCGTTTCTCAAATCACAACTCTCCTACATTCGAAGAAAGATATCTTTCGTAACTACATGGTAGTCAGTAGTTCGGTTACATTTTCAGGTATCGACGACACAGTCGATTCCACTGAAAAGTCAGTATCTTGAACAGTGTTGTGGTGTTACAAAAGGACAGATGCTTGAACTTGAAGTGAGAAGGCCGTCTTAAGTAAAGATTGTTGACGAAAGGTATAAGATCCTCGTTAGTATAGTGGTCAGTATACCTGCCTGTCACGCGGGTGACCCGGGTTCAATTCCCGGACGGGGAGATTCTTTTTCTCATTTTTTCATTCCACTATGTCGTCTGACAAAACCAGCCGGGCTATTTCTGTTCCTAATCGAATACTCTGACTTTGCTGTTCCTTTCATGTGTTGCTCTTTGGTATTACTCTCAAAGAACGACCCACGGTGTGTCCTGTCTGTATGGTCACCTCGATTCGGCTCAGTGTCGTCCAATACAGCGACGACATGTATTAGTCTGAATCGGCGGTTTCGATAGATGCAAAAGTCATCGAGACCTCGAAGCGACTCGCGTCGGCTTCCGCTCATCATGTCCGGATCGCTCTCATCGTCATCGAACGACACACAGCTACCCATTGATGATTTCCACCAAACGCGTGTTAGCGAAACGCTTGACCCGCAATCGAAGAGGTAACAGGTACATCGTTGCTACCAGCTTACCAGCTTAAAAGTGTCATCCAACTCGAGGTCATTAACCGTGAGGTGACCAAGAAGCATGCGAATCAACGCTCTGCGGTGCTACTTTCAGTGGACCACACCGCAAAAGGACTGATTCCCATCTTCTCGCAAAATACCGGACCCCGTTGTACCGCAGATCAGAGAGTTTTGAAAACGCACGTCTTCTTGGTTTCCGCCATTTCCTCGAACCTTCGTCGTCACTATGAGACCACTACGTGTGCTTACGTGCTCTGTGAGCAAATTCACCTCAGGCGATTATGCAAGCCGATAGCTCCGTCCATGTTCTTAACACCTTCATGTTTTTAGCTACGTTCATTGTGATTGCGTCAACAATCCCCTCTCAGTCCTGCTTCTACTGCGGCGTTGCCAATCATACCATTTCTACTTGCCCTACTCTCAAAGAGGGCTATGCTCGCAACGCTATGCGTCCTGTTTTTGACCCACACTGTCTTTGACAAGCATGGTGCAGCATCCCAAAACAAGCGAAAACGTGACTATGTCGCCTCGTTGCTTCCAGTCCAACGTCCTCGTGACGATCGTGATGATCGCGATGGGACAAGTGGAAACCATGGCTCTAGTGGCCAACATGGCTGGGGACCACGATCCTCTAGCAGTCTAGGGAATGGAGGGTGGAACAACAACCATGACAACAATCGTGACTGCCAAAGCGACCAATGCTACGGTCGCACTGACCGTGGAAGTCGTAATGACCAGGCTGGCATTGCTGCTTGTGCAGCCGGTAGTGCTTACATTCACGAAGACAGTCGCCTCAATGGCTATGCCAACACCCACCTCCTGTCCCATCACTTTGTACCTCCCTTCACTATCAACCGGGTCATTCAGCGTCCCAACCCACCTATGTTTTGCCGAGGCGTTCCAACCGGGTTCTGCCCCACTCTGCGATGTCCTTTCATCAGCGCCCCACAATCCTACGTTTTTTTTGCTATAACCCTCGCTCGCATCACTGTGGAACCGGGTGATCTACCCGAACACTTCCCATCTCCTGTGGATGCCGGTGATCTTGGCTTCACTGAAGTTCCCTCCACCGAGGTACCTATTACCCAGTGCTTATCCCTCTACCCTCCGTGGCCATTATTCCAAATTCCTGCGAACCCCACCAAAGTGAATCTTCCACTGTTCACCCGGTGCCATATCGGCCGCCCTCAGCGATATCATCACCGTCGGAAACACCGATCAATGTCGTTGTCCAACTTCCATCCAGATGAGTGGACGACGTCCTTCCCATCCCTCATTCCAAGTTGTCGAAGGCCAAGGCATTCTCACCCTCCACGCGGACCTTCGCTACTGTGAAAGCGTATCCGGTGACCTGCCACTACCTATGTCCGTGACGTATCGTCCCAACGACTTTCCCGCTCTGCGAGAACACTGGATGGTAGACTCCGGCACCTCTGCTTCCTGCACCCCTAACCGAGGTTATTTCTCCAACTACGTCCCCTGCGCACTGTTTCTAACAGACAGGAACGGCGCCTAACTTTGTATCCTTGAATATGGCCCTAGTACTATGACCGTGGACATGTCGTCCCGTGACGCCGTCGACGATATTCATCCATGCACTTTGGCCTACATTACCCTAAACCGCAGTTTAATCTATTCTCGGTTCACCAAGCGACTGACGAAGGCATCTCGGTATGTTTGACGGCTCGCGACATGTGCCAAATCTCCACCACTCTTGGTGATGTGCTTCGTGCACCCAACAACGCAATGGCCTCTACTCGTTTCTTTGCAAGCCCAAGCTCGATCCCTTCACTGGCCCGCACCATGGGGAGTATCTCCATCCGGGCCATACGGCCCTGCTCACCG